ATTAAGCAGATACCAAAATGTGTTACACAAGGTATTCTGAGTTCGGTTTCCATGTAGACGTCACCTGCTTTGCAAAAATACAACAGAATGCTAAAACAAATAGTTACCATTTACCGTACTTCCCCTGCCATAAGCCCATTCCCGGGTATAAGCCCACCTTTCTATTTTTAGACATTTAACGATTGGAGGGCATCCCCGGTCATAGGCACAAGGGGTTTAAACTTATTAAAATACGTGTGTAAAAATTGTGCTTCATTGCATAAAAATCTTGATTGGTACGGTAGTTCTTTTTATGAAATGATCTCACGAAAAAACTCACGTTAATTTCACGGTACAATAATTTATGTTTCGTCGCAACTTGTTGTGTTTCCGAAAATAACAGGTAAACACTCACATAATAGCTTAAATGTAGTTTTTAAGTGGAATAGTCCTTTTTTTCAAATATTTATTTCAAACACATAAAATCACAGAAAATAATTTCACCGGGGTGCTAAGCAAATTGGTGTTGGGCAAATTAAAACAAACTAGCACTATTTTGCATGGTCTTTGGGGAGACTTTGATGAAGTGTGTATTTGATTTTTATAATGTGCCTTATATATTCGTCAGTATGTTTGCAAATGAATTATCCCTTGATTGATATATGTTATACTGTTATAACATGCACAATATTTTCCCAAAGTTGCGCCATTCCGTATAAAATTATTTTTTAACAACATGAATAAAATGTTCATTGGTCAATAAAACCATTTGTTTGTTGTAATACTAATATAAGTTATGAGCCTATAATATTACAATGCGCGGCGTTATGTTCTGATAGTAATATGTAGATCCCAATCTTTTGCATTTGTTGCACACAGTGTGCAAAGCCTCCCGAGTCTAATCAGATGAGTACGCCTATATTCAGCCTGTGAGCCGAAATTCTACCCACACTTCTATTTTAATGTGATGGCCGTTATCTACTGTGAAATATTTTATTTTAGCTGGAAATAATTTTCGCTGAAAAGACTTTTTGGGTGTTTTGTATGATGGAATATATTTTCTCTCTGATTTTTGACGAGTTGAATAGAAAATAAAGGAGAAAAAGATATATTCGCTGGATTTTATTTTCATTGAATCATTCCTTCAGCGAAAATAGCGAAAATTAATTTCATGCGAAAATAAAGTATTTTACAGTATTTTGTAAATTTGCCATGCAAAATCGGGTCAATGCAAATCAAGTATGTGTATGATTGGCTAGCCAGTTCTGATCTAGCAGCCAGACCAATCAGAGAGTAGCTTGTATGTTAACATTTTTTTTTCGGCGAATCAAATTCCACCTTGTATATGATATGCTTCTCATCGTCTGAGAAACGACAGTACGCTCGTATATAACAAACTAACGTATGCATTTTGTGTATTTTTTCCATATTTTACAATTTAGTATCAATGCAATTTTATTGCGTCATATTTTATCTCTTTTATCACTTTGAAGTCGTAAGCAAACATAGTTGTTATGAAGCGCGCAAGCTCGAATTCTTTTGATAAAATTTTACGCTATGCACTACGCATGCGTTAACATTTATTGTATTCATACTTACCTCGTGAAAGAGTTTGATCGTAAAATTATTTCAAATAATTGATTAATAAAATAAAACTAGAACATGGCGCACTCGGGCGTACCATTATGAAATACACAACCGTCTATTGTAGATTTATACAAGGACTGTAATATTATTGTTTGCTGTGTCTGCGTCCCTGGCTGACGCCTTGCACAGTATTATTCATGAAGCGCGTGGAATCGGAAAAGTACTGCCATGTCGATGTACGTATTGATAACATGTGTATTACAGGTGTTTGCAGACTCGTTTGATGCAGGCACGCCATTCAGTCCTCGGTTGTAATGACAAGAACTGTGTTTCTTATTCTCGCTTAAAGCGATCAATTGCAAGCCTTAACAAATTACCTTAGAAAACACACATTCTTTGGTCTGTGGTTCACCACAAAAACGACTCCGCTTTTTGAGAGTGCAAATGAACATTAAGAAACATAATTAAATCAAAAGGTAAAATATATTCTTATATATTATATATATATTCGGTATTATCTCAGGTCAATAATATTACACTTTTATTAGTCTGAGGTGTTACGAATGACGTTCCCAAATAAAGGCGACATTTTGCCATGAAATGTCCAGTGGTCAAATTCTCGTGACGCCATATCTAATTAGTGTAATTTTCTATATTTTTATATGACTTTCATTCGATTTGATTTGAACTTTTGCCTAAGATTTAAAACGCTGGCGGTTGTTGCACACCCCGCTTTCAAATTTCGTGCGAACAACCAATGTGCATTGAGGGCGTTTATGAGTCACACAAAGCCCATCTAGGATACGGCGTGTCGCAACGCCAGTCGCCCCAAACAAAACAGATAGCAGAGTAAGCAATCGTGCAGCAAATTACCATTGTTTCCTATGGCAACAACAATTTCAAAACCGTGCACGCATAATTTCATTTTAGGATTTGTAATCTCGCAATGTTTTGAATTATTGGAACGATTTTTTAAAATCAATTTCTTCAAGTGCATGTACCAACACCTATACCACGTTCTTCCAAACGCAACATTCTGTAATCGCAAAAGTTCAACAGACTCTCGCTAGTAGCTATAAATAGCGCTACCGCGAAAGTCCCTCACTGCCAGCGAGGCACCGCCCACCGTCAACACAGTGGAACGTTCTATTCAAATTTGAGCACCCGCCATATGGCGATTATGACAAAAATAGTTTTGAAAACAATATGACATATTTGTAAATGTGGTGACGTCTGTTGATTGGTTGATGACGTCGATGGACGCCAGGCTAATGGTGGATGTAAATATCGCGCAAAGGCTGCAATGACGACGCCCGCAAAGTTATGCAGAATATCGAAGCTATAGGCTGGTGGACCTATTACCAGGTACGGCTGTACTGCTTAGCTCCCAGGCTCATCACTCTATGCCTGGTGGCAGCGCTGTCTTCGCTACATGGCAGAAATCAACAGGTGCTGCGCTTGAAAGAACTGTATTATCTTTGAACAATGACGAAAATATTTCTTCAGATTCTTCGTCTTTTTCTGCGCAGGCTTCGGCCTGTGTTGAATCAGATGAGAGAACGCCAACAGAACATTCACCGTCCGAAGGCAAGACGATATTCGAGCCGACGAAGACGGAAACCTTCCTATGTACCGATATATGCGGATACGAACTCCAATATGCCGACTGAGGTTATTAATCCCGATTGTGATTCGGGTTATTCGCGAGAAATTGACTCGTGCCCAATGCCACCGTGCCTGTCATCCGCCCAAATCGTTTCCCGGGGACTCCAGTTTGACGATATTGAAATTAACAACCTGATAGGTAGTGGTGGGTTCGGAGCGGTGTATGAGGGGTGCTATGGTGGGCGAAGGGTGGCTGTGAAGAGAATCAATATTTTTAACAAAAACAAGAGAGCTGCTGTTGAGAGTTTTAAAGCGGAACTGGCAGCTTTGAGGCTGAAACATACAAATATTGTGCGAACCATACTGGCGAGCGCCGGTGATAATTTCTCCGATTGTGCCATCATAGTTATGGAGTACGCCGGTGATCTGAACCTACAACAAGTGATTAACGACAGCCGGGACCCTTTACCACGGGAGAGGAGAATAACTTATTCCTTGGATATTGCCAACGCGTTATTTTATACACATGATAATGGAATTGCGCATCTCGATGTGAAGCCGGCGAATGTGATTATAACGCCCGATGACAGATGTAAGCTCGCCGATTTTGGTTGCTGTCAGACGGTACAGGACGAGATCGACGAGGGCCATGTCAGTCCCACTCAAAGATCCTATCTAACAGGTACGTTTGCTTACAGAGCCCCCGAGTTGTTACGAGGGGATGTCCCCACTACCAAAGCTGACATCTACTCTTACGGAGTCACCCTTTGGCAGATGTTGACACGGGAACAGCCCTTCGCCGGTGAAAATCAACATGTGGTCATCTTCGGCGTGGTAGCATATCACCTGCGTCCGAGTTTTACAACCACAGTATTGAACAACATGGACGAGGCCTGGTACGTTGACGCTATTATGCAGTGTTGGTCACCAAAACCAGAACAGAGACCGACCGCTACAAAACTGCTTGAGAAACTCTCCTCAAAAACTCTATTCAAATGGTAGTTGGAAAGTGACTCTCCATATCACGTGGATGGGTTGCAATGCCGATGTTCATTAGTTTAAAACGTTGAACACAATACCATTATTTTTGTACGAAACATCGCCAATCATTTGGCCCGAACTTTGCATTAAGGCGCGCACACCTTTGTGTTTTTAAAAAAGAAAGAAAATCCAATACTTGTATTTAAAAAAAAGCGGAACGCATTGAAATGTCGTGACTCCACGTTTGAAAGCGTTAATAATAGAAATAATACAAATATCGATTTGACTGTTTGAGAGTGTTACATGGAGCTCTTGACACTGCCATTGTCGAATAACACACCAATTAAATTCCACCAATATGCGGAGGGAATGACCAAAGAAGTCGAGAAATTTAACCATTTTTGGTATATAGCTTTAAAAACTGGTCTTATTAATGTCGTTTTTCTATTTTTATTATTTTCCAATTTGGATAGTTATTATTTTTCAATATTTTAATAGTCGTCCTATCGTACCTGTGTTGTATTTTAATGTAATGTAATGTATTGTATTGTATTGTAATGTGATGTGGTTACATTTTTTCAAAATCGTTTTTTTTTTTCGTTGGAGGTTTGATAGTTTTCTATATTTAAACTCGTACCATCATATTTGCCTACGTGATCAAGATGGTATTTATGACACACATTCTTTCACTGAATAACAATGTCATGAGAATAATGTATATTTTGTACAATTTGCATATGTATATTTCACTGAAATTCTTGTAGATACTATTCACAGATTCTGTACGATATTTACCGCTGCCTAACATTTCGTCTAACAAGTCTTCCAGGGACCCCCGGTCTGCGCATGCGCGTTTGTATATTTGTAAAAATATATATATATATATATTGCACACGGTTAAGAGAGTGACTTTAACTAAGTGTACAGATCTAATGTAAAATCATTGTACTTATTTTCTATATTACCTTTTGTATAATTTGCTACAGTCGGAGATGTGTTGATTTATTTACTGACGTGTATTTATGATGGTGTAAAAGAATAAAAAGTGAGAAAAAATATTTACAGAATAAAACATATTTATTAAAAAAAACATCCCCGGGAATTAGTGTATTCATGCGCGCATTAACACATCACTGCACTATTTGTTAGGTCTCCGCTTGACACGGACTATGTTTTGCTATATTTCAGGCAATTGTTGTTAAACCTAATTTTAAGTGTTTTTTCGAATTTTAACATAGTTTCGTCGGTGCCGTTTTGTAATTCAGCTCCCGTAAATGGGCGCTATAACGGCAGCAGCTATACCAGAAAGGGGCACACCTGAATTTCACGCACACTGGTTTTTACGTTATAATACCTGATTTTAATTACTTTCGTAGCTGGAAACCAGAATGATCCTTCTCTCTGGAGATTGATCAAGCCTGGATTCGCTGTTGCAGCTGGGCAATGGCGACGAATCTCTGCTGATGATTCTCGTAGCACATACAGCATTCACCCGTGATCTAGGTCACACAACTGTCGTTTTTCAAAATATGCAACAAACCGGATTACTGGAGTACAATGTGAACTGTTTGCCCTGTCATTAAAAGGGTAGTTTGGTGTCATATTCAGATACATATAGGTTAATATTAAAAAATAATAATACACGCGCTTACCATGACTGTAATTTAATAACGGGCAGTTATTTATCTATGTAGAATACATATGTCAATATAAATACGAGTGTAATATTTTTGCTGAAATAATAACATCGTTTCACAGCACGGCATGGTGTGTTTGTTTTGTTGGTTCCATTCAGTAACCTGTTGATTAATTAATCTACAGTTGCGTTGACGTCCCTTGGAGTAATCCCCATATCATATGTTACACTGATTTAGCAAGAAGGTTTTCAATTGGCTTACAGGCTAGGGCCTTGTTTTTTGTACCACCATCTGTCCAATCTGAGGAGCGCTTTCGAAATATTATCTGGTCTTATATCGTCATGGTTGTTTACAAGTCGGTTGCTTATCGCTCTATACAAGCGTATACCGAACTTATTAAAACGCTGGCGAATGAAATTTGTCGTCATCGCAGTGCTCGGATATCCGTGGTATTGTCAAAGTCTAGATTTAATACATTTATTTAATAAATAATAACTCGAACGATAATGTATATGAAAACCCAATGTTTATTAGTACTTGACAAAAACAACATGGTGGGTGATACATTTATTTCGTAAAAGAGTTATTACGAGTTAAAACCAGCGTAAATCGCGACATAATCACGTGATGTGTCCATGAATATCCCCAATATATAACACAAGTCCAATAAATACAATTTCGGCACTTTGTACAGTTGGTCTTTGTTGACGTGAGAATATGTAGACTAAACAACCGCATTTTTTATAGAGTACCTGGCGACAGGTTGTCATTTTTGTCTTGGACCTGGGGATAGGAAGATGAAAACTTATATTTTGTTATAAAATCTTCTCAACATTTCCCATTTATATTAATATTCTGTCATAATTATTGTGAAAGTCTGAGCGCCTTCTCTGACAAACAATTTTCGGCGGGACTTAGTTTGCCTCTTATATTGTATAATTATAACCATTTAATTGGTAAAAAATGTCATGTTTTGATTATTTATTGTAAAAAGAAAGCCTATGTTTAATATAAAATTTCACACACTGTTATCGCATAGCTATGGTGGTTTTGTTTGACGATGGATGATTCTTTAATTAATTTCAAATTTTGCCGACTATCGAAATATAATGTTGAAATCCACCAGTACTCTGTTGTAGTATTTGTCACATTTTAATGTTTCTTTAATTAAAAACAAAACAACAACCAGCACATTTCATTGAGGCTACTTGACCTTTTTCCAATTGGTGATTCAGTGAGAACCAGTTTATTAAAATTAAATCGAATACTGGTGAACTTTCAGACAACTAAGTGGAATTTGATGAGTTGTAATGTCATTGTCGTGATCGAAAATATAACTGATTATGATATAGAACGCTGTCATATCATCAGTCATGAAGCAATAAACAACAACAAAAATAGCTTCAATGCGTAGGCGTTGTTAGTCACGGTATAGTCTGATTCATAACATATGCACAGTGTGGGTGTTACTGGAGGACAGCCACAGCGGAATGTCACCTAATACTCAATCATCTTGTGAAAGGTGAGCTACTCTTCCATTAAACGTGTTTTTTTAGAATAGCACAAATGTAAAAAAAGAATCCAATTTAGGTCTTCCATTTAACAAAGATGGGACCGAGAATATATTTTTATGTTATAAGTACTAGCCCCTGGTTGAATTTTTTTTTTTATAGTTCTCTTTTATAGTACTATTTGTTTTATATTTTATTCACATTTTGAAATTATAATAATATATAGACAGACAGACGGACACCTGTGCCGTATCTTGGCTTCTGTCCAGATAGTGGAGATGTGCCATTCGATTATCTGCGCGTAACTAGGTGGTCTGGTATTACTTCGCGGAGTTCGCGGTTAGTGCACCCCGTGCCCTTTAAAAGAGTACGGATTGTGCTAACTTGAAGTATCAAAATGGGTTTGTGGTATAATAACGTCAGTACGCATGAGAAAAATATGTAACGGCTGGCAACTATAGCAATGTACGCATTCTCGGGAATTTTAGATATATAGTCATCGTTGTGACCGTAGTGTAATAAACTCGTCCGACACGAAACTGCCAAAGACCATGGCAGTGGTCGTCGCGCTGCCAGTGGCGGATCCAGCAAAATGTATTGGGGGGGGGGGGGTCCAAGCTACGCTTAAGATATACGGAGCGTAAATTGCAGAGAAGCTATGCGTAATCCAGATGATACGAATCGTCATGCGTTTGGGGGGCATGCCCCCATGGCCCCTCTTCTGGATTCGCCACTGCGCGCTGCGTCCCGTTCGATATGGGCCTCGTAGCAACGTACACGGCGCGTGTAAAATGCATTGTTTGTATTACATGAAATTCGAAAACGCGCCTATGCCCAATTCCGTTCAAGGCTTTTTCAAAAAATGTAAAATTTTCAATCACTTAATGCCACATTTTCGATATTAACTTTTATTGACTCACCTCACGAACGTGTTGATCAGTACGTCTAACCTATACTGATTTGTTAAAACCATAAATGTTTTTCAAGCGTCAAACGTTTCCCGATCTTTTCCCCAAATTTTGACCAAGATTTGGGGTAATTAAAAACTATGTCTATTTAGGCCGAAATTAACAAAGAAATTATGGAAAATACATTACTATGTGCAAAGAGTGTTGCAAAAGACGATTTGGCGGGACAATATGGCGTTTAAAGAGTTGATGAAAAGGACACCTATAAATAACATCACATTTCGTCACACGAGTGGCGCGTATTTATACCAATCTCCACACTCATCAATCATGTTATTTAAAACTTCTCTTAAAACTCCTGCATATAATAAATAGTAACCACTTGTACAACCATTTTCCTGCTGTCAACTTTGTCATTCCCACCCTTTGATCACATTTCTGCGCGTGTTCTGAAACAATACTCATCGTGTGTGATGCAGAAAAGAACAAATAACAACGGGCTGCCCCCTGCCAGATTTCTATTATCGCAGCCATTATATTAGTCACGTGATACAATAATTGAAAGTGGACATGCTGCAGCTTGCCGCCATCAACTACGTGGGCGGATATCAGTACATACAGGCACCTGGATGGTTTGACATTTAAAAAAAATATTGAAATACCCGACAATGTAGCAAAGATTACTAAAACAACAAAATTGACTCAAAGTACATTGCACCGTTCTGGTGTAATGCTGGATGCACCAAATTTGCATCCACGTAGTAGCCCCCGGGTTGGCTAGAGTTCGCGTATACAGGGAGTCCTATAAATAAAGGTATAGTGAATACTAGTAATTGTTTGCTATTTGTCTCTGATATTACACCACTGTACGTTAACAAATAAATAATCAGTGTTGTAAACATATGTTTTCCATGCAAAGATGATGTCTTTATTGCATCGATTTTAGCATTCGTTTTCACCGAGAGCCCACTGACACTATTACTGCACAGTCACAGTCACTCTACTAGGAGAGTGACTGTGTGCACATGCACGTATTCGTCGGACCTCGTTGCCTCAGCATGCTACCGTCATGTGTATTCTAGTTCGTGTCGTCGTATCTGAAGTTGGTATCAGTACCTCGATGATTTCGTCAACGTCACGGGCACTACAACATAAAATCAAAACGTACTTACTATATTTGTCTCATATGGTGCACTACTATCTGTTGCAGAATATCTAGCGATAAAAAAACGCATATGTATTCTGTATTTGCTGATTTGAGCTATAATGATGCAAACTTTATAAAGTTAGTTTATTGTGTGCGTAATTTCAATACAGTAACTACATGCTACGTGCCATATGACTTACTAATAAATAAAACAACACGGCCCCAAACTCGTCTCCGCCCCGGTTGTTACGGCAAACTACGCCAGTCTTCACGCTGATTGGGCCAAACGCAGCTAGTCAATTGCCATGCAGGAAAAATTGACATTAACAAAGAACTCACTGAATTAATATACTAGTACTAATCTCCAGAAGGAGAATCGTCTGGGTAACGCATGCGCAGACGGTCGTTTTCATAACTCATCTGAAATTTATTCTTCTAGATCTGTTTGCCGAATTTTTATCATTCGATAAATTAAATATTGTATCATTGCTTGATTATTTTCACAGCCCCATGCCTCTTTAAAAAATGACTGGTGTGAAAAATTTGCACAAAATGTACGGCTTTGAATGTCAATGTTTTTTTTTTTTAATAAAAAAACTTCAACGTACGTACCAGTCTTACTCACATGTCTCTATCAGTAGTACCCGTATATGCTAGATCGCTAACTGGACAGTCATCTTCACGTCTGGTTACCATTCTAATGATAGAGTACCGCCAAACAGCCAAAATGTGAAAATGTTCACAATGTGTAGTGAATAATGTACGTCTTTTATAAACTTCGAT